TTTTTTATATTTTTTATATATTTTTATGTATTGTATAATAATATATGTTTATACTGATGTGATCATTATTGTTTTCAGTTTTTCGTATATATAGAAGTAAAAGTTCAAAGTATATATGTACATCTTTTTTATTACATTGAAACATCTATACTAGTTCCGACTGTGAAATTTAATTAAATAATTAGCATTATCGGCATGTTGGCGTTTGATAAAACTTGCAACGAGGAAACGATCGAAAAATTTCACTTTCCCATAATATTTTAAAGATACGAGCGACAGTTTCTGGAAAAAAATTCTCTGGACAATAAAAGCTAATGAAGCCTAAACCTTTGAAGGATACCTCTCGCGTTAACTCCTTGTTATTAATAAATAAATAAATGCTTGCTCTATGTATTTGTAAAGTAAATATTTTTTCAACGTTAACTTTATTTGGCGACATATGGACTCATCGCGCCGATTACCGATAATTACAAAAGAGAAAGAAAAGGAAAAGAAAAGCGAAAGTATAAATTCAAGATACAAAAGTAAAATATAAACATCTCCTATGCACCATTTTCTCCACCCGAATCGATTATAAAACTATTGTGTACGTTGCGTGTAATTATAAGAACAATATATGAACGAGCGCTTTAAAAAAATAAAAAAGAGAAGAAGGGAAATCGTGGACAGGTAGTTTTCCGATCTTGGAATGTGGAAATAAAAACAACAGTGACGCACTTTTGCCACAAGTGCCGGAGTACTTATTATTATCGGGTGCCAATGAAACACAAAAATATGAAATCATATGTGCGAAATGAAAGCTCGATCGAGAACATGTTTTTCGCGCGTAGGATTATCGTATCTAAATCACAAGAAAAGCATACATACACTGAGAAAAAAATACAGTTAATTTTAATAAATATTTAATAAATATTTATAAATATTTTAATAAATATTTCAATACTGCCAACTAAACATTTACTTACAGTAAGTAAATATTTGTTCAATAAAAAAAAGATTGTTAAATCAAATTAACATTTCTTGTATCAAATAAATCTTTATTTAATAAATATTTATTTTTTGATAGTTTTCAACTAAATATTTATTAAAATTGATTATATTTTTTTTCAGTGTATGTATAAATACTAATTAAAAAAAAATGATTCGAGAACGGAAGGAGCGAGTATAATTTATTATACACTAAAAAAAAACGTGATATTTAATAAAATAAAATTTCTACAAAACATAATTTTTACTTACAATTCTTATTAATTTTATAAATATAAAATCTCACATAAATAAAAGATTTCTTATTGTGCATGAAATTTTAATTAATAATTAGAGTTTTACAATATCAAAAATAATACATTCCCAGAAAAACAAATTAAGAGAAAGTAAAATGACTTAACATGATAGTCAAAGTGATGATTTTTTGTTACAAAATTTGATTGTTTATTGACGTTAAGAATCAAAGTAAAGTTATTTAATTTTTGTTGATTTTTGTCTTTTACACATTCTTTGGATTTACTTAGCCCCTTCGAATTGATTTTATTGGATCCATGTTAACCAATTTTTAAAATTTAATTCATGCGCACTTTAATAAATAATTCATACCAAACAATTTACTAATTAATTTTTTTCTAAATTTTGACTATTTTTATTATTAGAATATATACATATTATATACATCAAACCTCAAATGATGTCGAACTAAATAATTTCAATGGATGTCTTCAAATTTGATGTATATTACAATGTATACAGAGTCTGAAGGGATTAAAAAAGTACTAGTTGATAACCGTATACGATTTACCAAAGTGTTCTCGGCGTACAAGACTCATATCCTCGAGCGTTAATCGGTTAGCGGTTTCGCGGTAACGTTACGGACATGGCGGGAGGATAGGGGTGTCTCTTGGATAAAAGGAGGTTAAACGACTGGCGTCTCTCCGACATATTGAGATATTTCTTCAGCGACAATGTGTGCAAGCTCGCACGTGCAATGCAAGCTCGCACGGACTTGACGACGCGGTTTCAACGCGAGCGAGTTACTTACCCGTGGCATCGATCCGCGCCCTGCCTGCCTGCTTGCCTGCCTGCCTGCCTGGCGGTCGCTACCACCACCATCACCACCGCCAGCACCAGCAACACCACCACAACCACCCCCTCAGCATGTGCTGCTGGTCCGGTATACTATCCCCGTTTACTCGGCTCCGCTTGTTCGTTTTGTTTCGCCGCGCCAAGGCGAACGTGCGCGCAATCGAGAAGCCACCCCCTCCCCTTCCACCCTCTCTCAGTAACACCACTGTCATATCTCACTCCACGTCACCACCCCTGATGTTTCCCGACATCGTCGATCTTACGACGCACGCTGAAATTTGCCTATCTTTCCGATATTGACGATGGAAGGACAAAGATTATTTCGAAAGGAACGCAGAGTTTCCTTTGTTAAATACACAAGTGCCTCGAAGTTTTAATTAAAAATTATCCTGTTAAGGCAGCTTGAGTCGAGATTCAATGTTGTATCAAGAAATTTGAAAAAGAATATATACATATATAAACAAATTATACAATTTGCAATATGCAATTATTTTATTTTTTAAAAACAATCGAATCTTTTTTTATATTACTTGAGTTATCTCGTTATTCTGCATCTTAAATTAAAACGGGATTCCCCTGTTTATATATACTTATATATTTCTTCAAATTATTCTATGTATATATTATACATATAATATACATGCAAAAAACTATTTCTATCGTCAAATGTATCAAAATTATTTCGATTAGTCGCGATTATTAACTTTTAATTGATCACGTGATGTAACATAAACCCATTCATCTCTTCATTTTACTCACATTGTATGCATTCAGATTCTTTGTTTTTTTTTTCTCTCTTTAATCTCTCTTTGACTATACATTCAAATGCAGAAAGTGCTTTTAGGGAATAAAAGTAAATACGAACAAGTCTAAAGATGACAAAAGAATTACGACCGGCTTTCATATTGATCCCACGCGACCAATTAAGAGTTAATTGTACCTGGACAATTAAAGTTCGAACAGAAATCGTTCAATAGGAATATCCCATGTTACGTTCACGTTTGTTGCTTTCCTCTTTATGAAAAAGTGAAGCAAAATATCAGAAAAATCAATGTTGCAGTTTCCATTATTCAAAGTATTCATAGTTTGCTGCTATAATTATATTATAATTATAGAAAGGGCAGAGCTTTGTTTCGGCAGAGCACATTATATACATTATTATACAAAAGACTTCGAGAATAAAAGAAGAAATATCTATTGTTTCATAAATTTGTTTCATAAAAATATAGTTTTTATATTCTATATGTGCATGTCTGATTTTATTACTCTGTAAATCTTTTGGAGTGAAATCTCTCTTCAAAAAACTGAAAATTAAACTTTTAAAAAAGAGTGAAAATATTTTCACTCTTGAACAAGAGTGGCAGACTTTGTGTGAGAATGAGATTTTATTCCTTTGGAGTAAGATTTCATTCTTTTGTGTGAAGTGAAAATCACTCCAAACAATGAAGTCTCATTTCAAAAAAAGGAGTGAGATTTCATGCCTTTGAAGCGAACCTTTTCTCACTTCAAGTGAAATCTTACTCCAAAAAAGAATGAAAATCTGTCATTTTTGTTTAAAAATTTTCGCTCTTTTTTTTCAAGACTGACTCAATTTTCCTCCAACTCCAAAGGATTTAGAGAGTAGATATTACTTCTACATAAGAGATCTTATATGAGAGATAAGCGACAAAAACAACATGATACTACGATATCTCTCAGTGATTGGGATATCGACAAATAGTATATAGAATATACCATAATAAAAACCAATATATAGAATATACCAGAGCACTTATTCGTATAGATTCTTTTCAAAACTTCTTGCACCACCACGTTAATTCTTCCTCTTTTTCTCTCAACGTCGAGCGGTGCAAGAAGTTGGACTGAAAAGAACAGGTGTTTTCTGTTACTTCTCGCGAATCCATTTGTCCCATTCGGGAAAGTTCCCAGCGCTAATTATTAAGATCGGGATTGCGGTCGTCCCGCATCTCTGTTACAGCGAAACTGGAGGTCGGGTCCAAGGAGACGTGCGGCAGCACGAGCCTCGCCAACTCCGGCGCGACCCGGATACTCCTGATCTTGAGCCTGTTATTGACCGGCCTCACTACTCTGCCTCACATCCAGCACGACGTCAGAGGTATCGTTTAGCTCCCGGTTGCCGCCGCCGCTGGATCGGTGGTCGGCCGTCGAGCCGCCGTCCTAGCCCCGTCGAGCAGCAGAAGCATCAGCATCAGCATCAACATCAGCAGCAGCAGCAGCAGCAGCAGCAGCAGCAGCAGCAGCAGCATCAGCAGCATCGGCATCAGCAGCGGCGGTCCGTTTCTTCCCTAAAGAAGAAGACGAACGAACGCGAACGAACGAACGGACGGACGAAACGAACGAACGAACGATCGGGAAGATGACGGTACCGCGCGAGAAACAGACATATCAATAGTAGAAGAGTGCTCGATCGCCGGGGGATCGACGATGAATAAAAGAAAAAAAAATACACGCCCGCCTATGAGAGAGATCTCGGTCGGAAATTATGGGGGACGAAGAGGGGCCCCAGGGGCCCGGGGTGGAATCGAGTTCGAGTAGTATTCACGCGCGTAAATAGAGAAAGGAGAGATCTGAAAAGGATGACAAACGACGATCCGACGACGATGATGGAGGACGATGAGAGGTAAGAAGAGAGGAATAAATGAGATATTCAATGTAGCGATGCACGGACGATCGAACGGGGGACGAGACGATGGCTCAAAACTATCGGCGAACTACGCCGACGGTTCTAATTGCGCTAATTATAGTTCCTACGAGTCACTCCGAAGTCTGAAAGCTCTTCCCCCGCCTTAATGCCAGCGCAACAGAACGACGAGAATTCGAAAGTCCGTTTGAACTTTCGAAGGTTCATGTAGGTATCTGAAAACGCGTAATGAAAACGCGAAGATTCGAAAAAAAATTTCGAACGGGAGTTCGAAAATTCAAAAAATTCAAGAAACGCTAAATTAACAGTCCGAAAATTTTTTAATCGCGAAAATTCGAAAAATCGTGAACGCGAGGATTCGAAAAATTCGTAAATCATATTATATTATGTTAAATTAACACTCGGGTATGTTAAAAATTCAAAAATTTTAATAAAGTCTGATTTTGACACAAGTACAAAATGTTTTTTACTGTGTGAAGAGATACAAGAGTCTGAAAATTCAAAAAATTCGAAAAACGCTAAAACAGTCCGAGAATTTTAAAAACCGCGCAAAATCTGAGAAATCGCGAACATGGGGATTCGAGAAAAATAGAGGACAGGCGTGTGGAAATTAGAAGAGAGAATCTCGGGACTTATAAACGCGGGGATGCTGGAGGATTCGGGGTACCGGAAGCTGTATATGACACGCGCGGATTTATCGTAAAACTATCATTATGCCATCGGTCTCTCGTCGAATCCGGTACTTCATCCAAAACACGAACAGCGCGTTATACCACCCCGCTATACAGGGTATCCCAGACTTCTCATTATAGTCAGACTCCTGAGATTCAAGAAAATCCTAATACCAAAGTGTCGACTACAATAGTTTTTAAACGAGAAGAGTTTTTAAAGTAAAGTCAAATAAATCGTTCGAAATTCATACGATCAAGCATAACATATTAACAATAATGAAAGAGTTTAGAAGAATAGTAGAGAATAGAATTGATTGAAAACATCTTCACTATTTTTTCTTTGCTATTAACAGGTGTTATGCAAAGTCTGGGACATCCTAGAAATCCTCAAATATAGGAAACACATTTAGATGATTTCTGATTGGACTGCTATATTTTTCAGAACTAAGATAAAATGAGATAGATAATGCATAAGATAGAATGAGATATTCACTCATCTTCTTCCATCTTATGCATCTATTTAATTCTATTTCAGTTCTGATATATGGCGGATCAAATATATATGGCGTCCAATCATTTACTCTTTGGAATACCTTGTATATCTGCTGTATATGTGGGTCACCGTCGCAGGGGGTTTTATGAGCACGAATCACCGCGTCGTGTCGCGTTTATCGTGACGTTATCCCACGGGACAAGGCGGTCATGTGTATATATCGGATGTTAGATATATCGGACGGGTGATCGAAGTATCCGGGGGTGATAGCGTAATTTCTCCCGAGCTTTACCGGATCCGAGCTTCCATTGCAATATCGGGAGTCTACGTTAGAAAAAAAGAGCTCCGAATATCCTCAAGAGGCACATATCTACACTCTGCACCTGTCTCCGTTAAAAGAAATCTGATACAGCCAGATAACGCAGAATCGATACGATCGAATCGTGTTCCGTGAATATCAGATATCTGACATATGTTGTTATTGTTCGTATTGTCAATTTCATATCAAGACACTCTCGACATTCGTATATATATTTTTTTTTATTATTGACTCGAGATACATCTCGCGGAAAAGGAGGACCTTTTTATCACGTCAGATTTAGATCATCGTAATGAAGAAATTCTATACATGTAGAAATTTCAACATACACTCGTGTACAACGATTCGTCCCTCTCTAGATTTAATGAAACAAGTCCTAAAAATGTCTATCCTGTTTTACAAAAATCATTTACAAAATCGTTAATTTGCTATAACAATAACTGACCTAGAAAAGTTATCATTTTTTAGTTGCTTGCAGAAAAAGAATGGAAACGTAAAAAAAAGAAGAAAAATCTTAAATCTTAAATTATCTTAAATTACATTATGACACTGAACAATCATATGAAGGGGGGGGGGAGTGTGATCCAATTAAAGCTGCAAATATTATGTTGATCAATCAAAAAGAAAGAATTTTACAAATTAATCAATCAAAGAATGCTTCGAAGCATTTGCAAAGTGAAATGAATCGTATCCATAGTGTATTGTTATTTGAGAACTGCCTTCTAATTGGCTGAAATATGGTAATGTAATATGACTTATTCTAGATATAACTTTCCTAATATAGATTTTCTACAATAAGCCATTACCTCAGCTTTAAGTCTTAAGTCATAAAAAATTAACCAATCATAATCGATTATTCTTTTCACATTCGACTTTGGTCAATTTCTTACTTCTTTCTCTCTAAATCTGAATCAGTGAATAATCATTAATTATTCAGTGACATACTTGGCACTGATAATTAGTGAAGTTCAACTAAAAAAGGAAGAATGTTTAAGCATTATAATTAATTATATAATTAAAATACTGATATTTGCATGTTAATTTCAATCTTTCAATATCATATTCATTGAATTTAAGCATAAAACAAGGTTAGTTAAATCACACAATAAAGATTAGCTAGGTTAGGAATCTCACATTTAATTCACTGATTACCGGTGGCATACTTGGAATTGATATCAGTGATTATCCACTGATTCAGATTTAGAGAGTAGACAACACATCAGATTTAGGCCGGAATCAAACTACTCATCAAAGATTGAGATTGAAGATTGAAAGATTGAAATTTGATCAATCAAAACGATAGGAGCTAAAATTCCTTTGTCCTCATTGGTCAAATTTCAACCGCATAGTCTGATTCCGACTTTATGGCTTATTCTGATTTACCTCCATTAATATGATATGAGTGATGACTAACGGCTTATTGTAGAAAGTTTAGAAGAGTTCATCTGACGAAAAATAGATATTATTTCCTCCTCGCTCGTCGCGATGACGCGTCGCGTATCGCATTCGTATCTAACAGCCGACGAAGATGAGCGCAATGCCGCGTAAAATTGCCTCTGGCCCCCCAAGCGAGGCCGATTACGACGACTCTGCAATTCGCATTCGTCTACCTCCGCATCCGCCGTTTCCAGCCACTGTTATGTATGCGCCATACGTATCTATCTACGTGGTAGAGTAGTGAAATGGGGTCCGCAATTCGATCTATACGGTCCAATACGCGCGCACGACTCGCGACTCCGCATCGCAGCAGTTGATCGCGCCCGTAAAAGATAGGAGAGATAAAAAGAGAAGAAAGAGAGAGAGAGAGAGAGAGAGAGAGAGAGAGAGAGAGAGAGAACAACGATAAAAAAAAGAATTCGCCCATCTTTTGCATTATGTCCTCCCTTTACCTATCCGCGCGCGTCTCGTTCGATATCTCGCTCGCTCGAACTATTATACGCGCTTCCGCGAGTAAAATCCCGCTCGAAAGGACCGAACGATATTCGCTTTTACGTCAGCTTTTACGTCGGTCTCTTCCCTCGCGCACGAGAGGAAAGAATAGAAGGACGATGCGCTATCTCTCCCCTTATATGGGAATCCAATTTAACTCTCCGTCTGCAATCTGGATCTTTTTGGTATATACAAGGAATAAAATCTCACCCTCAAACTTCTCCGAAATATACATGTAGAGGTTAGAGTCAAATCCCTCCTTAAAATATCTTGTTAAAAAAGCTATTCGGAAATGTGACAAAAATATAACCTTGAATTTTACCACATATTTTGAGAAGTAGATCTAGAATAATAAAAAAAAACTTTGGCTGAATGGAGAGACACGTAAAGAACGATTTTGTTGAAATTTCTAAAAATTAGCTAAATATAAATCTGAAAATAATTTTTTTGTTAGACCATCAAAATAATTGATCTCAAGCGTGATAAATAATTCGAGTTAATTCTATTTAGTTTTTTAAATAAGATTATGTAACTTATAATTATTATGAAAAGTGTGAAAAACATCTGTTATAAACAATTTTTCATAAAATAATTGAAGAAAAGTCCGGCTACACTGGAATACCGATCAAGTAATAATACTCAAAATGAATAATTAATCACTACACCAATATTAAATTTCTAAAAAAGACAAGTGCATTCTACGTCACAAAAAAATCGACGGAATCGATCGATCATGACGTATTTCCAGGATTGAGTAGTAACTTGAGTAATTAAAACGTTAAAAGTTAAAAAAAAGTTAAAAAGTTAATAACTTTTAACTTAACTTAGTTAAATACATTAAATTTTTAACTTAACTAAGTTACTTTTAAACGTTAATTTTTTAACTTTTTTTTAAGTTAAAAAATTTTTTTATCTCTTTTAAATATCTTAAAAAAAAATAAGATATAATAAGAGCGTATGTTCGTAATCTGTTCATATTTTAAGACCATCGTAATTTCTTAAAATTCTAATACAACCCTCTGATTGTTTTATGCGCTTATGCCTTATGCCATAAGCCTTAATCCGGATCTACAATAGGTGTTTTAAGCCTTAAGTCATAAGAAATTGACCAGTTACAATCAAATATTCTTCTCGCATTCGATTGTAATTGGTCAATTTCTTATGGTTTAAGACTTATTAAAAAGTAATCACTGATCTTGTATCTTCTCTATGTGCTGGCTGTTTTTTTAAAGTTATATAAATAAACTTATTGAGTTGTCCGGAAAATTCGTACAGCAAAAGATTTAAATTTAATAAATGAAATTAAAAATTTAAATCTTCTGCGTTTCAATTTTACCTTCAAAATCGGCACGAACTTTCCAGACAATCCAATATATAGTTATGTTATATAATCATCGTTATGTTATATAATTATATCACATATGAATAAAAAAATTTTAAATTTAATTTACTTAATAATCTATATTGTAGTTTAATCTCATTTTAAGAAAAATTACGACATTTTGATCTAAAAAATAATTTTTTCAAAATTAACTTTTTTTTAACTTAACTTAATTGAATATTGATTTAACTTGCGTTAAGTTAATTTTTCCCTTCAATTTTTAATTTAACTTTATTAATTTTGTAAAGTCATTAACTTTAACTTTATTCAGTTAAGAAAAAACATTAAACTTATCCAACCCTGCGTATTTCCGGTCGTGACAGAACGCGAAAGTTGAAGTTTACCTAACTTTATCCTATATTCTGCGTCCTACAGTCTTTACGATTCTATTATGGAACAAGTAGAAATGGATTTCAATCGGAATTATTCAATTAGTCTCTAATTAAATAGCTATTATGTTTTTCTAGGGAAAATCCAATCGAAATCCATTCCAACTTATTCCATGATTTATCC